TGTGCAGTTTAGGTTTATAGCCTATGTCCAATGTCTTTTGCATACCGTGTGTGTGTGTGTGTGTGTGTGTGTGTGTGTGTGTGTGTGTGTATTTACTAAAAATGGCATTATACCATATATATTTTATATAACCTTCATTTTTCATTTAATGCATAATCAACATCTTTCCATGCCATTACATTTTTTTCCCCTACAGCATCTTTAGCAGCTACTAATCTTTAGCATTCTAATATATGGGTGAACCAAAGTTTTCTTTATTTAAGCCCCTACTGTAAGATGTTTAGGAAATTTCAAATTTTTCTAATTGTAGACAGTCTCAATATTAGAAACATACTTTTAACAGTATAGTTGCACAAATTTATAATTATTTCATTAAGATCACGTCCTTAAAGTAGAATTAGTGAGTTGAAGGATACACAGTAGAACACATATCCAAATATTTCACTTAATACTCTTTGACAGTTCCCTTTTGTTTTTGACCAAGTTGCAGACGCCTTAACTTTGCATTTAAAGCCTGGAGAGATTGCCTATTTGCCAACCTCATTTTGAGCTCACGTTTGTAAAACTTCTTTTTATTTTTTTAAGTGTTTGTTTACTTTTGGGAGAGAGAGAGAGAGAGACAGAGTGTGAGAGGGGAAGAGGCAGAGAGAGAGGGAGACACAGAATCTGAAGCAGGCTCCAGGCTCCGAACTGTCAGCACAGAGCCTGAGGTGGGACTTGAACCCACGAGCCACAAGATCATGACCTGAAACAAAGTCAAATGCTTAACCTACTGAGCCACCCAGGCGCCCCACGTATGTGCAACTTGTAACATTTCCTTATCACCTGCTACTGAATCGCCCTGGAACCTTCATCTTGTCTATTCTAGCCTAACCAAGTCCTTCTTGTCAGTCAAGCCTCATTTAAGAGAATTTCAACCTTTCTTGGCTTTTTGGGCAGGGTTAAATCGCCCTGCTGCTTCCTCCTTAGCAGCTCATATATCATCCTTCCTGAAATACATTGTTTAGAGTTAGTTTCTTGTTCACTCTACATCCTGGAACCTAGCCCAGAGCCTGACACATTTCTTGAGGTTGGATCGAATTGACTAGGCACATGAGGAAGGCTTTTGATACACACTGAAAGACCATACCACCAGCAAATTATATTTATTGAAATGTAATTTCATGCCCACCAGCAAACTATATTTACCGAAACAGAGACATTCTTAGGACAAACTCCCAGTTCTTATGTGTTTGTGTTGTGATTTTCTAGATACAGAACAGCTGACTATGTAATTTTATGACTGCACAGGATACTTTCCCTGAGTTCTTTTCTCCCTTTCTGTCCTTGTAGATTGGCCTGGAGAGGACTTAAAAAAAAATCATGGTCCTTCTCTCCTTCTCCAGGTTCTCTTCTTGTCCAACTCCAGTTCCAAATCCACTTGCAACCCTCACCTTGCTGGACACATTCCTGAACCTTACTTTTTTTTTTTTTTTCTGTGATGGGCTTGCCAATAGACCTTGGAGAGTCCATTCCCCATTTCTTCATTGGAAACATCATTATCCCTATCTTCCACAGCCAGGGGAATGAATGAGTAAGGAGTATTTCCAAAGAACTAAGTGGGCCTGGAGTCAATGTAGGAAGGAAGTGGGGACATAGGATGTGAGTCACCAATAGCTCTCTTTGATGCTCTTGGAATCTACCAACCAGTACCCATACCAAATAGAGAAATACCAGTTGTAGTGAGTGGTGTGCCCCCTTCCTGAGAGGCCCAGAAACTGGTTGAGCTTCAAAGCCTCTTCTACCTGACCCTTTGGGTTAGTACCAGCAAAGACCCAGTTTGGGACCACTGAAGAATAACTCAGGTGGGCAAATGGCAGCATCATTGAGGTTGAGAAATCACATGCTAGACCCTTGAATTAGTTAGACATAGACCTGAATCTGTATAGTATCCTGGTCTTTCCAAGTTTCTGTGTTGTGGACATTCCAGAATAGGAAGAGGCCTCTAAGTGTGACAGATCTTTGGTGATTTGGGCTACTTTGCCATCCCAGCCTGCCTGCCTTAACCAGGAGCCAATTTACCTATCTCAAATTCTGACTCTTCTGCTTGTCAGTCACATAAGCTTGGGCAAATTACTTAACCATCTATCTACCTCTGTTATATTATCTGTGAGGCACAAACAATAGACGTGCCTCATGGGGTTGTATGAAAATTAAGTGAATTACTATTTCCAGTGCCCTTCACAGAGGGCTTTGCTCATTATTTGGGCTCAGTAAGCATAAAATATTTTTATTAACGCATTCAGTATTTTCCTGAAAAGTCTTTCCTCCTCTTCTCTACCAAAATTCTCATTTTTCCTTTCCTTTTTTTTAAATTAAGCTGTAACTTACATAAAATGTGTAAACATTAAGTGTAAAGCTTGTTTAGTTTTCTCCTCATTTTTCAAAGTCGCACCATCATATGGTTTTCTCTTCTTTACTCACCACAAATATTCAACTCTTATTTAAGGATTCTGCTTTGAGGAGCTTCAGTGCTTCCTGCCCTCCCTCTGGGCACCAGCAGGAGGCAGTGTGGTATAGGGGAAAAGCTACAGTCAGCAAGTTAATGATCAACAGGCTTCTCCTGGCCTAATAATTTACTGGCTTGAGTAAGAACTTAACCTCTAGTAGTCTTGTTTCTCCCCATCTGCTAAAGAGGACAGATTGCCAAATGGACACTTCACAGGATTGTAGTGAAGATGAAATGAGGTAAAGCCTGTAAAACAATGCCTGATACATGTCAATTAAATTGGCAAGGTTAAAAAAAATAATAATACCCAGTGTCAGGGAGGGTGCTGTGAAACAGGTACTTTTGGCCAGTGCTGGTGAAACTGTAAATCTATAAAAACTTTCCAAAGAGCAATTCAGGGAAACCAAACCAAACCAAAACAAAAAACAAAAACAAATAAACAAACAACAACAAATAGCAGAAGCCATAAAACTTCCATTGTTTAGAAATTCATTCTGTAGAAATACTTGTAAAAGTGCACTAAGATTTGAGTGCAAGCATTTTCATCTCAGCATTACTGATAGTGTACAAAAAATTAGAACTAGAAAGATCTAAAAATAAGGTTATTAAGTAACTCCTGGTGTGTTCATAGTAAGAAATTTTCTCTGTGATAAAAATTATGTCCCCTCACAAAAAACAAGAAAATAAATAAATATGTACCCAAAGATGATTTCATGCTCAAGATATAATAAGAGAAAAATAATTGAAACATATAATGTGACCACAAATTTATGTCAGTTACAATCATGTACACTTTTTTTGTTAACATTTACTATTTACCATGTATTATGCTAGGGTAAATAAATGCTGTTATTTCATTTAATCTTCATCAAAATCCTACAAAAAATGGTATTATTATGCCAGTTTTACAGATGGATAAACTGAGGCTCCACAAGGTTGACTTGCCCAAGATGTTATAATGAATTTATGTCTGCCTCCTACTTTTATTTTTTGATTTGATTTGATTTGATTTGATTTTTGTTGTCTGAGTCCAATTTTAAATCCAGATCTATTTATATTAACCAAGATAGAATGACAAGAGATTTCAAATATTTTCTTCCTTAGACTTTTCTAATTTTTCCTAATTTTCTACAGGAGTAGAGGGAAAAGATCCCCAATAAATGTTATCCTTAATGAAGCCTTAGCATGATGCCTGACTCATGTATGAAGCTCAAGAAAAGCTTCAGAGCCTAATAACTTCCAGTCCAGGACAGGACATTTCCAGTCTTATATTAGGTAAGATTTTTTAGGTAGTATGCTGTGAGATCATAGAAAAAAAAATAGTCTAGTCCTCCATGGGCATTTGCTCAACATTTATTGAGGCCCTGCTTTGTGAGTTGAAGCTCAGTAGGTTCTAGGGCCACAAATATAGATAAAACACTAATTTTTCCCTGTGAGAGTTCAAGGTCTAGATGGAAGACTGACATGTAAAAATGATACTATATTTTAATTTTGAGCAATGGTAATGTATTCCTTCCATAGCTTCCCACCATCCCCCAAAAGGCAAATAAATATTCCTAAAATGGTTGTTTTAGGTCAAAGTGATAAGAAATAAAATAGGATTGTATGGCACAGTTGAAAGAATCTAGGCTGGTAGTCAGACATAGAATTCCATCTCCAGCACATTCTAAACTGGCCATCTTCAAACTGGAATTATACACATCCTTAAGCATGAAGACTTCTCAAGGGGGATCAACCTTCATGTGTTATCTTTCTTTTCTTTTTTTTTTTTTTTAAGTTTTTTTTTTTTAATTTTTTTTTTCAACGTTTATTTATTTTTGGGACAGAGAGAGACAGAGCATGAACGGGGGAGGGGCAGAGAGAGAGGGAGACACAGAATCGGAAACAGGCTCCAGGCTCCGAGCCATCAGCCCAGAGCCTGACGCGGGGCTCGAACTCACGGACCGCGAGATCGTGACCTGGCTGAAGTCGGACGCTTAACCGACTGCGCCACCCAGGCGCCCCTCATGTGTTATCTTTCTTAAAACTGATCTGAGAATACTCCAAAGTCAGAGATCCTGCCAGTTTCTCTGTCCTAATCATCTGTCTCCCACCTTGCAAAAGGTAAGGCATATAATCTACATCCCACTCTGGTGTATATTATGTTGTAAGAAACTAAGTTTGGATACCAATACTGGCATAGTTCAAGACTAATTAAGGTCCTGGGGCACCTGGGTGGCTCAGTCGGTTAAGCGTTTGACTCTTGGTTTCAGCTCAGGTCATGATCTCGTGGTTTGTGAGTTCCAGCCCTGGTTCTGGCTTCACGGTAAGAGCATGGGACCTGCTTAAGATTCTCTCCCTCCCTCTCTTTCTACCCCTCCCTGTATGTGCACGTGTGCATTCTCTCTCTCTCTCTTTCTCTCTCTCAATAAATAAACTCAAAAAAAAAAAAAAAGACTACTTGAGGTCCCATTAACTATTCCTTCATTCATTTCATTAAGAGATTAACTTTCAGTGGACATAACTTTATGCTGCTTTGATTGATATTATTAGTGTATAACTTATAATGTTAGCTTAAGTCCAAAGAAAATTAATATTTAAACCCTTGTGGTGATAGCATATTTTTAAAGACTTTAAAATCTAAAAAAAGAAAAAATGTAAATACATGGTCATATGTTGTTGCAGAGAAATAGATGATGAATAAGGGACTTTCAAACATAAAAACATGTTACATTAGAGTAATATATGGTGGGAGACATGGATTTCAAGGATAAAAAGAATGATTTAAAATGAAGGACTAGTCAAGAAGGGCTTGTCCATATTTTTAAATTTTTAAATGGATGATGGTGAATATCAAATCAGTATGGTACTTATATTTCATTGGATGTATTTATGGCAGTGATATCACAGTTTTATTTTTAAATGTTAAGATCCATAATGTGCCAGAAAGTACATATTTTGCATCTAGTTAAATGTGTGATGAATCACCCCAGAATGTTCCCTGATGCCCTCTTCAAGTCACTCCTCATCCACCAACCACTGTTTGGATTTCAAACATCTTAGTTTCGTCTGTTTCTGAATTTTATATAAACAGAATCATACAGCAGATACCCTTTGTGTCTGACTTCATTTGCTAACAGCGTTTTTGAGATTCATCCATGTCATTCCTTTTTATTGCTGAGTGGTGTTGTATTTTATGAAAATCAACAATTTAGTTAGTTATTTTCCATACATATTTGGGTTGTTTTCTATTTGGGACAATTAAACATAAGGCTTCTATAAGCATTGTTGTTCAAGTAATAAAAAGTAAGATGGAGGCTTAAAATTTTTTTAATGTTTATTTTTGAGAGAGAGAGTGCAAGTGGGGGAGGGGCAGAGACAGAAGGGGCCACAGAATCTGAAACAGGCTCTGGGCTCCGTGGGGCTCAAACTCACGAACCATGAGATCATGACCTGAGCCAAAGTCAGACACTTAACTGAATGAGCCACCCAGGTGCCCCAAGATGGAAACTTTTAGATGTCAACTTTAAAATATGGAAAGAGATACACATTGTTAGTCAGTGGTTTCTTTTCTTTTCTTTTTAATTGTGAACTACACTTGACCCTTGAACAATGCAGAATTTAGAGACACTGACCCCCATACAGTAAAAAATCTGCACGTAACTTTTGACTCCCCCAAAACTTAACTACTGTTGACCAAAAGCCTTACCGATAAACAGTTGATTAACACATATTTTGTATGTTATGTATATTATATACTGTATGCTTACAATAAAATAAGCTAGAGAAAAGTAAATGTTATTACGAATATTCTAAGAGTCGGGGCACCTGGGGGGTTCAGTCGGTTAAGCGGCCGACTTCGGCTCAGGTCATGATTTCGCGGTCCGTGAGTTCGAGCCCCGCATCAGGCTCTGTGCTGACAGCTCGGAGCCTGGAGCCTGTTTCAGACTCTGTGTCTCCCTCTCTCTGACCCTCCCCTGTTCATGCTCTGTCTCTCTCTGTCTCAAAAATAAATAAACGTTAAAAAAATAAAAAAATAATAATATTCTAAGAAAGGGCACATGGCTGGTTC